AAATTGGATCTATTGATTTACTTCTTTTTTTGGCTTACGTTCGTCGTTATAATAATCGGATTCCTCAAATTTCTTTGTGATCGGTTTGAAAAACGCACTCAAATTATCTAAAGGATTGTGTTGTTTCTTTTGTAATTCAGCAAAAGTATCTTCCAAGTTATTATAATCTTCTTGTACAAATGGTCTTGTACAAGGCTTGAAATAAGCTGCCAATCTATCTAAAGGATTTGAAGGCATTATTTTTTTATGGCTGTTATTATTCGAACAAATAAGAAAAAATTCTGATATTTCGAATCTTTGAATATTAAGATATCGTTATCCAATGAGACACTTGATCCGCACGAGGAAAAAAAAAAAAAAAAAAAAAAAATAGAAAAAATTTTTTTTACAAGTTACACGAAACTTAAAAATCCGCAGCTTTATTTACAAACAAGTGAAGCTTATTTTCACGTGATAATAACGCCCTGGTAATTTTTCACGAGAAAAGAAAATTAATTAGCGGGTGCAATAGAAAGTGATCGAATGTTAATGATGGAAATGTGGTGTGTAATTTACCCCTCAAAGAAAAAACCCAATACTTATTTGTGTTGGTCATGATTGACAGTCCCACAAAGATTAGATAAATTAAAAGATCTATCAAATCATTTATTTTATTAATTCATTTTGTGTCAACAAGAGAAGCATTATAAATAGGACAATGAAATTACTGAAGTTGAACAAAATGTAACAGGGATTCCATAGTAAATAAATATTTCTTTTGACAGTTTACAAAGTAATGAATTGTACAATAAAAACGATAAAGGGGGCTTAATATTACTTGTTCGTGGCAGTGTGGGAATTCGTCCTTTCTTTTTTCGTCGAAATGCTTTGCCACGTATAACGTCAAAGCCTCAATTTAATGAATTATGAATACGTGTCCATTTCAAAGTCTCTGAATTAATAATAACCTTGCATAAAATCAAATCAATATTGCACCATAATCCTTGAAGGTGTAACCAAACAAAGTAAGTACATACATTTATTGTTACAATCCCCCGTCATTTAAAAAGACCATTGAATGAATAGGGCTTTAAAATCGAAAAGAAAAGAGCGAGTGAGTGAGAAAAGAAAAGAAACCAACAAAGGTCTTTGACGCAAATTCCGAAAGGTGAATGCCATCAATTTCATCAGATATTTATATCAAATCGAGAAATATAATGATAATAATAAATCATGGAATATGGTAATACCATAAAAAGAAAAACTTAAAGTGAGAGTAAAAGGATAACCCGAAATGTTAATTTCATTTTTCAATTTTTCTATGAAGTTTCTTTATTTGGATAGATACTTACTGGTTTTATAACAACTATGAGATAATGGATTGTGAATAAGTGTATAAAAGCCCAACACAGCCTCGTTTTTATTTTTCACCCCACACTATAAGGATCTTAATATAACATACATTTTCTTGCTTATTTTTCAAAAAATCGAAATAATTTTTGTTCCCTTTCTTTATTTTTTTAAGTATCGAGAATCTTCTTCCCGAGAAGTTCGCTTGATTATCTGATTGTTTCGTATATAAAAAATTTAACAATAAGATGAAGAAACGAATACTTATTTTATTACTAATTGCTTTGATATTTATACAAGGTAAAAAAATGATTATTGTCGGAACAGAATTTTCACGCGAAAACAAGTAAATTCATTCTTTAAATATTTTAAATTATAGTCGGAGTACATGGACAATCTGAAAAATGTGTAAACCATGGATTTTGTATTAAAATAACACCAACCGGAAATTCATTATCCTTTGAACTAGAAGCTCCAACGAATATGGGGTAGTTATTAACTTTATTAACTTCACGTATCATTTAACCAACCTAGTATTTGCGATTAATTTATTTGTTATTTTCAGATGGGTCGCAATCGGTTTCGGTAATTCTATGATTGGAAGTTACATTGTGGTGGGTTTTAAAATTTTTTTTTTTTTTTTTTTACGAGTAAAATGTATTATCCTGCGGATTTGTGAATGAAATTTTTATTTTGTAGATGGCCTGGCCTTCAACGAATGGATCAGCAATAATTTCACAACGTAAAGCGGAAGAATATGGTGTACCATACCCCACCGAACAACAAAATGACCTTAGTTTAGATGCTACGGCAAGTGGTTTGAAAGATGGAAAGTTCATTGCAAAATTCACTCGACCGGTTTCTGTAACTGGATCAAAAATCGAAACAGCCGAACAACCAATCATTTGGGCTCTTCAAACCGACGACCGACCTCCGGATGATCCTGAAACTTATGAAATCACTATACATAACGCTAAAGGAAAATTTATCTTTAAATCAACTGGTGTGCCCGTCATGAGTAATTACGAAAAATACATTATCGCTCACGGAGTGGCCATGTTCTTTGCGTGGGGTATCGTGGTGCCTGGAGCTATTTTTATTGCAAGATTCACGAGAAACATAATTCCGCAAAAGTGGTTCCGACTTCACTGGGGAATTCAACAATTCGTGGCTTCTCCTTTAATTTTGTTTGGAATAATATTTGCAATCACGGCAGGTGTGAGATTCAATGCTTCCAATTCACATCATCTTCTTGGACTTGCCGTATTTTTGGGCTACATCTTTCAAATTTCTCTCGGGTGGATTCATCATAAACTCTATGATTCGGCCAGAAAATACTACCCATGGTGGACCAAACTACACTGGTAAATTCATGAAATGATTTTTTTTTCTCATCTTTCAAAGGATCAACAAATTTAACATTACATTTCGAAATTTTCCAAAGGTGGTGGGGACGCATATTAACACTCTTGGCGTTTATACAAATTCCGTTGGGATTCCAACAATACAATGCATCGCATGAAGTCTTCGTGGGATATTATGCCTACGTCTCACTTATCTTGACTTCCTTTGGGGGCTTATCATATTATTTGTACAAGAAGAGGATAAACGATATAAAAGCGTTTAATAAGTCGGATGTTCTTTATACCGGAATACGTCAAGATGATGTAGAGCAACAGAGTTAAGTATAATTTTATTATGATTTTTTTTTTTTTTTTTTTTTTATATAAAAGAAAATATTCTAATATTATCTATTCTCAATTTTCAATATATAGGCCTTCTGGTTACTTCTACGTAAATCAACAAAATTACTATGCTCCATTATACTCGACATCGGCTTATAATTTCAATGGCGGTAATAATTTTCTTTCTCAACTTAGATTTAACATGTTGGATAATTTAGGTATACAATATGAAGCCACTTTATTTTGCATTTTACTATTGTTCGTGATCTTTTTCATTATCGGCATTTTTGTGTTAAGTTACTTAAATAATAGTCTTCTGTTCTCGTAATAATGTCACGCGGAAATAGTATACTTTAGTATTTATTTAGGATTCAGTGTTATGTTTATTTATATTGTATATACAAAAATAAAAAAAAAAAAAATTTTAAAAATAAAAATTGTAATCTTTATGTGGCGCAGTGGATTACGAATTACGTATTTAACACGCTTTACATGTGATCTTTGTTAAAATTATCACGAAATTTTTTCAACCTCAAAAAAATATGGAAACCCTTTTTCATAATTTACCTCCTTCTGAAGACCAAGTTTATTATTCGATCTACTTTCCTTTTCCTTCCATTTCTGATCATGAATCTTTTCTTCAAGAAACCAGTGCGCTCATTATTTCAGAATTAAGCCATTATTTAAACGGATATATCTGGCAAAAGGATTCATTTCAATTAAAGATCATAAAAAGTGAATCTGGTAGTTGACAAAAAAAAAGAAATCATTTTTTTTTTTTCTTTCGCTTGCACGTTTTCATTTTTATTTTAAAAATAGATCCTGGTTATCCTTTCTTGCATGGGAAAACTAGGTTTGGAGATTGTATCGATGATGAATGGTTTATCGTATTTTTGTTACGGCAAATATCATTAAAATTTAAGGATGCAGTTATCAGGTATTTAAATAATCATGAATTCTTATTTTCCAACGTATTCAATGACTGATGATTTGGCAGTGTTTCTGATTATGATGGAGAATTCTTGTTGATTGAAGCTGCCAAACAACTTCCGTCTTGGCTGGATCCCAGTAATAGTCAAAATAGGGTAAGTTAAAAATATATATTATATATATGTGTATTTATGTTTGTATTAATTCTTTTTTTTTTTTTTTTTTTAATAGATATTTATTTATCAGAATGAATTGCACATCATTCCATTGCCACGAACTCCTGCCGAAATGTTGAGTATACCTACCGGAAAATTGTCAATCGAAAAGGCAGTGGAAATGATACGAAATGATAACGTCAATACAAAAGCCGATATTAATGTTCAACTGGTTGCTTTTGGAAAGTCGGACGAGTTTCCGCAAAAGATTCAACAAAATATTCACCATGCAAGATGTCATATTCCAAGAAAAATAGCCCATGTGTTACATCAGAATCCTCAGCTTTTAGCTTCAGCCGTGGAGGCATTCTACACTCGAGATCCTATCGCGTTAAAAGCATGCCAAAGGATGGAAAATTTTCCTCCATCTACATCAATAACTGTTTCTGTGAAATTTACAAAAACCTTATATGCTCAAATGTTAAGTCAACGGTTTTATCCACCCAAACCTTTTAAATTACCCGCTGGTACCTCTGAAAAATACAAATCTGCCGAACTAGGGATGAAAGTGGTAAGTTATAAAAATTATCACTTTGATTTAAGGAATTGTTTAAATTAATATCTTATTGTTAGGCATGTGGATTTGAAATTTTATGTACAGATAAATATTATACAAAGTTAGCGACGAGATCATCCGATATGATTGCTGAGGTTAATATGTAAAATAATATGATTATTCAAAGGTATCATTGAAAATTTTTAAGATAGTTTTTATCCCTCTTTCATATTAGACGTATCCATTTAATGAGGATCCGGATTGGAAATTATTTCGTGATAAGCTTGTGAAACGAAATTATTATCGTGGAGAAGTTGAAGGATCTAAAAAATATAAACAACTCGATCAGATTGCCAAACAACAATATATAGAAACTTTGTAAGTTATTATATTGATAATAACATGACCTTATTCATATTTTAAAAAATATTATAATTTTAGAGATGATGAAACTAAATATAAGACAACTCCGTTTGAACAAATTAATCAGTTGTTAAGAAGCCCTATGATTCCTGATGAGGTTTTAACTGCAATCACAATTGAAGATGATGATTCATGGATGAATATCGATCCTAAGCAACTGGAAGAATTACTTAATGAACGAGAGAGGGGCTATGCAGAGATTAATAAAGAAGTGGGTGAAACAAACCATTTTGACCGTGTAAAATTTTATTATAAACGTTCTACATTATAATTCCTAATTTTTGTTGCCTTACGTAGACAAAAGAATTTATGGACGGGCAAAAAAACTCAGTCGACTTGACAAATATGATTGACGCATTTGAAAAATTTGTTGATTTCGAAGGAGCTGGATTTGAAGGAGCAGAATTCTTAGAGTATGGTTTTTAAATATTAATCATTTTATCATCGTAGAATGATTCTTAATTAATCGTTTTTATAGTGAACATATGTCGGATGATGATGATGATGATACCGACGACGATGATGAATCACATTCTAATTTAGAGAACAACGAAGTCCATTTAGATCCAACAAAATTTCTGAATATTATGAGACAGACTTTGGGTAACTAATAAAAAATCAAAATGATTCTAAACCCTAATAAAAATATTTTAATTAATTATTATAATTAGGTATTTCTGAAGAAGAATACAGAAAACTAACAAATGAAAAAGTAAAGCAAGAACATCAAGAAGCAGCAGGTAAAATATACATTTTTCACGGAATATTTATCCCTTTAAAATAAATGTATTCAAATGTTGTTTTGGTAGAAACCGATAAAGTACCAGTTATTATACAAGAAAATCAATCAGACACACATACTGCGCCTATATCAAATGAAGAAATGGATATAGATATGAATACATATATGCAAGCAATGGAAGCTGAACTTTCTACTTCAAAAATTCCTGAATCATTCGTACATTCATCAAATGAAGATGAAGGTAGTGTTTCGTTATCTAAAAAAGGTGATGAAGAATCAAATGAGGAATTTTATAAACCTGTTGATGTGGATTTGAACCTTGTAAAGAATTTATTAGAAAGTTTCAAATCTCAAGAAGGGTTACCTGGACCTTTTGGTAATATAATTAATAGATTGGGAAATGTATTACCGAAGGATGAAGATGATGACAATATTAGCGAGCAGTAGTGGACATAAGTTAAACATAAGAATTTATATTTATATTTCAAATTCTATTAAAATAATTAATAAAAACAAAAATATTTTTTTGTATTATAGTTCAGTCTTTAGAATTAATGTGGCGACGCAATGACTAATGCTATTAATGTTGACATTACAATATCAAAAACATATTAACGGTTAATAATATGGGACCTTTGCAATAGAAAGGGGGGGAACTGCCAGAAAAAATCAATTTTACTTTTTATATGCCAAAATATTTTTGGGTCAAAATATGTTCAGATTTAGCATTACTCATTTTATTTTTCCAGTCGTTTCCCCTTTTCTATTGCAAAGGTCCCATATATATATATGTCGATCCATGGAAACCTGCATATTCGGATGATTGAACGATAATTGTTATAAAGCAAGTCAATATTTATTATTTTAAAAAAAAAAGAGAGTAAAGTAATTGTTAATTCACAACGCTATTACGAAAATAAGCATCTAAACGCGTGATTTTTCAATCAGTTTTGATCGTTTTTAGTAACAAAAAAGTCGAAAACATTAGTTTATTGATAAATATTAAAAACATATCTTTTAAATAATTATTGGATAGAAATAATTATCTCCGCTTTTTGACCGATATAGCTCTCATATCTAGACATAAAGCTATGATAAAAACAAGTGCATTACTGTTAAATGTTCTCGTTTCAACTCACATTTTATATGTGATAATTGCTACATTTGCATATAGGGACGATATTATAAACTAGTCAATAAAGTGTTTTTGATTTGATGATTGTGGTTTGGAACATCATCGAAGTATACCAGCCTTGTATTTTTTAATCAGTCCGTTGAGAGTAAATCGTTGCATCAGAAAATAAATGTTAAATGAATGATTTATCGGAAATTTGTATTTGTATTTATGAAAAAGGAATTTATTATTGAGACGGGTATTGTTTCCAAAGAGACTCATGAATTGCTTAATATTCAGAATGGCCTATATTCAATAATCCGCAACAAAAGAATAGTATTATTCATAGCGTGGATCATAAAGTTTTGTCTCTAGCAACCAGAAATGACTTCCATCAGATGTTAAAATATTTGACACCTTATATTTTGCGTCCCTCATCTTCTAAAGAAGTTTGCAGCATCGCCTTATGACAACTTGACATCATCGAATATAAGAAAGCCAGACAGATGCTTATATGGTATTTTCATAACATCTGTAAAACGCACAAATATTTGACTGTAACGTCAATAATTCCGTCCTTATCACCCAAAGTATTGATAAAAGCCGCCTGAGTGACATAACTAAGCATAAAATTGAAATTAATCAATTTCGGATATCGTCGAGATTAATATATATATATTCCTTTAATGACTCAGTATAGTTAAATTATTGATAAAGATGATACATAGTACTAACTAAATACATGGAAATAACAAGTACCACTCCGTGATAATTTTTCAATCCGTCTGAGTACATTGTTAGTCATAACTCATTTCACTATCCAAGAAATAACGCATGCCATAGCAAAAATGCTTTCAACAAGAGAGTAAAAAGAAAATTAAATCTTATTTAAAATTTAGAGAAAAACCAAACTTAAAAGAATAAACGAAAAGTAACATCCAATGAGGGAAAGGAAAATTAATTAGTGAAAATGTAAATGAAAATTCGCAGAAATGAGTTCAATATTTCTTTCAATTATTAACCTAAGATTATCATAGTATTTACCTTCACAAACAATACTTTTAAATCTTGCAAAATCAAAGGTTGATCTTTTTATCTGACCTTTTTATCTGACTTAATCTGACCTATAAAATTCAGATTTAGTAGATTTCAGATTAATGTCAGATTAGATCAAATTTATAATCCAATCTGATAAAATTAAGCAATTTGTATAGCTATATAACTAACATATTATTAATTTTCTTAAATGTTTATAAATCATTTAATTTGATAATAAATATTATGCAAAATTCTTTTATTATAAATAGCAATTTCTTCTTTTAAACTTTTCATAAAAATTCTCTTTTTTATTCTAATCTTTTAAGATATCTGTCTACTGAATTCCAATTAATCACATAAAGCAAAAATTCTTTTTTTAAGTAAAAACATTTTCATACTAATTATTAAAATCAAAATCAATATTAATGTTCGCTTAGATTTCTCTTCTTTTAACTATCATTATAATTACTAAATGCTATCTTATAAAAACTGAGTAGATAAAACATAATTATAATAAATTATATAGTTAATCTGAATAATTAAATCAAATTTTAAAAGAATTATTAATTGCAATTAAAAATTCATAAAAAAAATTTAATAAAAACCTTTGAAATAAAAAAACAAAAGAAACAACTAATAAATATATATAAAGGTTATATAAAAGCTTAAATAAAAGAATCAATAAAATAAAATATAAAATATTATGTAACTTATATTACTAAAAATGAAATTAATAAAAATAATAAAGAAGGAATATATATATGAATACAAAAGAAGAAAAGAAATTATCAGATAAAAATATAAAAAATATAAAAAAATAAAGAAATAATTTTTGAAAATAAAGAAAGAAAAAAGAAATATATAAAAATAAAAATTATGATAATACAATAATACGTAATAAAAATACATAATAATCTTTGAAATGATAAAAAAGGATCAAGAACAATAATATTACAATAAAATATAATAAAATATGTAATGAACTTTAGGATGATAAAGAAGATTTGAGAATAAATATATGATATATTGAAGGAAAATTTAAAAGAAAATAGAAATTAAAATAGAAATAAAATTAGAAATAAAAATTAATATAGAATTAAAATTAAAATTTTAGTGAAATTTAAAATAATATAATATAATAATAGAAATTAATAATAAAGCTATAATATAATAATAAAAAGTATTAGTAAAAAAATAAAATTATGAATAGAAATAAAAATAAGAAATTAAAAATAAAATAAACAGAAAATAAAAATCTAAACAAAAATAAAAAATATTAATAAAAAAAATAGGAATAAGAAATATTAATAAAAGTAATAAAAATTATAAGAATAATTTACAAATTAATCAATATTAAATTAATATAAATAGGAATAATAATTTCATTATATAAATTGATCTTTATATAACCCTAACTTTATAATAAAAAAGAGATATTATATTAAAATAATATATTTATTAATATAATAAACTCTTGTATAATAAACTCTATGTCTTAGACCTCAACTTCACTATAGGGTTATAGTAAAGATTTTGAGAGATTTGATTAGCTAATTTATTATAACAAGAGTATTTTTATTATATTTGTTCAAAAAATTCATTATATTAAGAGTTTGCTATATCAAGAATTAACTGTATATTTTAAATAATACTAATAATTGATTATTTTATGAAGAATAAAAATATTAAAGAAAGAAAATAATTTAATAATAATAATTTTAAAATAATTATACAGAAGATCTAGAAAGAAATAAAAGAAATATAATAAAAGGAAAGAAGAAAAATAAAAAATTAGAATGAAAAAAAAAAATATTTAATAAATATATGATGAAAAAAAATATTAGAAATAATAATAATGAATAAGAATAAATATTAGAAATAATAAAAATAAATAAAAAACAATAAAAAATAATGAAAAACTAAAATAATATTAATAAAAGACAAAAAATGAATAGAAATAATAATAAAGAAAGATAATAAATAATAATAATAATAAGAATAAAAATTAGGACTATCATTAAAAATTATAATGAAATAATAATAAAAAATAATTATAAATAATAATAATAATAATAACAAAATTATCAATAATAATAAAAATAAAACTAAAAAATAATAATTAGAAAAATAAAGATTAATAATAGAAATGATAAAAAAATAATAAAAAATTAAAATAAATATAAAAAGAATAAATCTGATAAAAATAATATAATAAAATGATGAAAAGAGATATTATAAAATATTTTAAAAAGGAAAATAATAAGAATTATGAAATTATAGAAGAAATAATAATGAAAAGTAATATGACAAATATAAAGATTTTTAAACAAATAAAAATTAATTTGTAAAATACATCTTTTAATAAGTAATAAAACATATTAAGTAAATATAACTCTTATTAAAGCTATCAAACTCTTTAAATATCAAATATTTGTAAATTATGAGTTTTGATGATTACAATACTAAATATAATTTTTATAGTAAAATAAATCTAAACTTAATATTAATTTAAAAAAAATTTTTTATTTTTATTAAAATGCTAATATATTTAATTAATAATTTTATTATTTTATTTTAAATTTATAAAAATTATAAATAATTTAATAATTATTTAATTATTATAAAATCTTAATTATAATAATTTTATATTAAAAAATTATTTATATTTATTTATTATAAAAAATAAATACTATTAAAGTATACAGTAGATCCCCTTTATAGTTACAGACTTTAAGACCGCCTAATACTATGATTATAAAAAGGTGTACTTATTAGTGAAAGTTTTATCATATAATCAGATATATAAATCTTTAGTATTAATGTAATTATATAAGAATAATTATTATAAAATAATGAATTTTATTAGAATTATGTTAAGAAATAAATATTTAAATATAATAAATATATATTTAAATTTGAATTAACGAAAAATTATATAAAATAGCAGTTTATTATATACAAAAATTATATTATATATACTATTAGAAGGTAATTACTAATTACATTAGTCAAACAATATCTATCTCTCAAAAAACATATCAAATGTGCTTTATTTTTTTGAATTAAACTCTTAAACTTTAGATATTTTTAGATACTTTCGAAAAATATATAAATTATTAATATTGAATTTAGGATCAGTTTGTTATTAAAAATAGGTAATAAATGTTTTTAACCTACTAATCGCTTTTTTTATTGATACTGAAGATATTTCTTTGTCAGAGTTATTACCATCTTCTTCACTTCCTTTTGCCTCAAGTTATACAAAATTAATAATTTGTTCTTTAGTAAGATGTTC